GTGAAAATTTCTATAATGTAACCCGAAGTGTGAATAACACTTTGACTGCCAATAGAAAATTATTTTATTTTATTTTTACTAGCGAACCGCCCCGGCTTCGCACGGGTGTAATATGCATGTGTTATACATATAAAACCTTCCTTAAGAATTCCTATCTATTTAGAAAAACCGCATTAACATCCGACGACGGCGGATAGCGATTTTGTTTTATACTATGTATTGATTTGCAACGCAAAAAACTACGATGCGAATTGTTGATTTTGCACAAAAATGTGCAGTACAGTTGACCACTTTGAAACCTGACTCACCGCAATGTTTTGTTTACACATATTTTTATTTTATTAGAATAGTATTTGGTTGCATCAGGATCAAGGATTTCAAGAAAAAATATGATTTTCATTATCTATCTGAATACATTTTTTCATGGACTAGATTCTTTTCACTGTTTCGCTAAGTATTGGGGACAGGTTAACAAGAGATATAAAAACAAAATGGTGCAGGATTTTTTGCTGGTCTATTATTTATTTATTTATTTATAAGTACAGATACAGACGACAAATTGAAATCGTACACAACAATCTTAATTATAAATAGTGAGCGAACCTGAAGTCCAATTACAGCTGTACATAATCCATTTATATCAAATTACATAATTCCCAAATGTCAAACCATTTTACTGTAATAAATTTTGTTCAATTTTTGAAAACTAAAAATTACTAAAAAGCGGCCATACAAGAAATCAAAGGTAACAAAAGGTACAAAGGGAACAACTGAATGAGTGAACACCAAACCTGAAACAATGGCGTAACGACGCATATCATGCTCATCGAGCTTCGCTGTGACGCAGAAGGAATTTTTTAAAAGCACTGAATTTGTCATGAAATATATCCACTTGAGCGCAAATAGAATTATAGTTTTTACACATTCTATATAGAGGATTGTTTTCTGAGACATTATTATTGCTAATAGGAATATTAAACACTCGAGGAGTACCTACGAACAGATCGAGTCGGTATTCTTAAATTTAAATACTCAATTAGGCCACTATCCATTGAACAGTGAACAATTTTATGGAGGATACATAAGTAGCTCATCCACCTTCCATGCTCCAAAGTTAACAAGGAGTATCTCTGCAGCCGATCTTCATATTGTGGTATTTTGCGTCTTAACCCAAATTTTGAGCACATAGCTTTTACAAAACGTCTCTGGATTGCCTCTATCCTATCCGTATGGACGGTATATATTGGTGACCATACCGACGAACAGTATTCCAAGATACTTCTTACCAAAGAGCTATATAAAACTATCATGGTGCTAGGGCGTTTAATGGTTTTGCAGATCGGAGCACGAATGACAGTATACGGTTTGCTCTACTACATATTGACTCGTACCTACTGAGGTCTAAAAGACAGGGGAGTCAAAAACCACCCCCAGATCGCGCACAACTGTAACTCTCTCAATAATAATTTTTCTGAATGTGGTAATTATACTGCAACATGTTCTTTTTATTCTTTGTGAATGTAATAACCTGACATTTTTTTTATATTCAGAGACATGCGATTCCTACTGCACCAATCAACAATAGTATCGATGTCTGTTTGGAGAGTATCACAGTCACTGCGATCCGATATACGTTTAAATAGCTTTATGTCATCAGCATAGGCCAAACACTCACTTTTGATCACACCCAATAAGTCATTAACAAAGATCAAGAACATCAATGGTCCTAGATTGGATCCTTGAGGGATGCCCGATATTGCCCGGTATGGAACAGAATCATATCCAATAATATTAACCAGTTGAGAACGATTTAACAAGTACGATGTAAGCCATCTATACAGATTGCCATGCATTCCCATACCACGAGATTTTGCCAATAGAATAGAATGGTCCATGCGGTCAAAGGCCTTAGAAAAATCTGTATATACCGAGTCAACCTGCGTTTTACAGTTAAAGGATTCGCATATATAATTTGTATAATGCAGCAGATTTGAATCCGTGGACCTACCCACCACAAAACCGTGTTGTTTTGGACTCAATATATTTCTAAAGTGGCAATATATAAGGTGCTCTATAATTATCAGCCACGGCTTTAATGGGAGGTAGTGTTATGTTTACAGATTACAATTGTGAAGAAATTTCGTACCCCGGACCAGTTAATTACATAAAGTAATTAAGTAAACATTGACTACATTCTGCATAATGTGGTTCACAAATTACGCGCGATGTGTCGCTTAGTCAATGAAAACAATTGCTATCTCTTTCCACGCGTACTGAGAATGAAAACGAAAATCAGCTGACTAGTTCGTCACTATCTTATCTACTAGATACTCAATAGGCAGGCTAACAAGGGTTTTAAAAGTGCAATTACTTACCAGGTACGGCATTCTTCCGAAAAGCTGATGTAGGTAAATAAGATTATAAACTTCCCATCAAACTTAAAACAGTTTTTTGCACACTTTTACAGTTATTTACACACTCTACCTACTTATCTACAAAACTGTTGCACAAGTCCACCTTCGCGTTGCACACAAATGAAGGCACGCTTCCAAACATGTCATATCACATTATTTAATGTGTCCGTTTCACTTTTACTTTGTTTCGCGTTTGATTTAATAGACGCCACAAGTTATTGTCTCTATCGTCGTAAACTCCGGCAGTATCCCTTGTGCTCGCAAAAAGATGACACCGAAAGAACTCCAACACTTCCTCTTCGAGTTCTGATTTGAATTTCGTCGCCTGGGAGTCAGTTTTACGTAGCGCGCGCGTATCTCCGACATTGAAACTAACGTCCGGGCAGACAGGGGTTGCCTGGGCTATTGGCGGCCGGGCGGCGCGTGCGACGAGTTCTGCTGGGGTGTGCTGTCTTGTCCTTGAACGCCCCGTCATACGCTGTTGCCATCCTTATCAGACCGCTCGGCGCCGGGCGGCTAGGAGCACGCTGCACACCCCCGCGCACCCGCACCCTCTCCTGCACTTGTCGCACGCGCTGGTCAACCGACCGCCGGCCAGGCGGGGATTGAGCTACTGATAAGGATGGCAACAGCGTATGACGAGGCGTTCAAGAACTCTCACTCAGCGACTTACTGAAAATGATATGCAAGGGATCTACAAATGCCGCCGCACATATACTAATAAACACTGGTGGAATACCGTTTAAACCCTTAGTCAAATCTATTCGTTTTAATTAATTTAGAAGGTCGCTCTTCGCAATACACAAGTCTCCAATCGTAAAGTTTGAAGGGTCATAATCCGGGATACAAACTCCTGGTGCGCCAGCGCAATCAACCGATGAAAAGTAGTCCGCAAAGAGGTTGACAATATCGGTACCTGAAGAACCAATTTTATCATGATAGTAAACATGACTGGGCATGGTATTGGTAACTTGTTTGCTTTTCGTATACCGCCAGAATACTTTAATATTGATTTTAAGATCCTCCTCTATTCGTTCAATATACGTCTTGAAACATTGCCGTGCAAGCACTTTGTCATAATATCTTGGATTCCTATATCGTTTAAATCTAGTGTGGGCTTTGCTTGGTTGCTAGTAATTTTATGAGACTTTTAGAGAACCACGCTGGGTACCTATTGCCAGAAGCCTTAGATTTCGGAGTGAACCTTTCTATAACTGTAAAGATAATTGTAAAAGAACAGAACAAACTCATTGCACCCCATATTCATTCAGACAACAGTCTTAGTTTTGATACCTCTAACGTTCTGGTAATATATTGACAAATGCATCTTTATTTCTTGCTACCCTAAGCGGTAAGTCCCCTCTTTGAGGAGTGGCTTGAGAGACGCTACGGCGTCCTCACCTACCGCCTGACGCAGGTCCTCACCGGACATGGAAGTTTCGGGAGGTACCTGTGTCTGATGGGGCGGGAGGAAACGCCCGGGTGTCATCACTGCGAGGACCGCCCTGAGGACACGGTGGAACACACAGTGGGAGAATGCCATGCGTGGGCTGAGCACCGCCGTGCCCTCAGGGAAGTGATCGGCGATGGCGACCTCTCGCGTCCGGGCTAGACCCGGCCATGATGCGGAGCGAGGGGGACTGGGATGCCGTCTCCTCCTTTTGCGAAGCAGTCATGCTAGCTAAGGAGGAGGCGTGACGCGTGAGGCAGCGAAGCAGGAAGTTAGCTCAACGTAGGTTAAACTGTCAAACACCAAGCGGTCACCGGTGACCGCAACCTATTGTTCTTTAATTGTGTCTATAATGACGGTACTCAACGAGTTAATGGATTTACGTACTTATATGAATTTGCAATCGGGACCAATTTCTTCTACCTTAACTCGTCGAGTACCGGTTTTGTACACACAATTATAGAACAATAGGTTGCGGTCACCGGTGACCGCTTGGTGTTTGACAGTTTAATACCGGACCAATTAAACTATACAAATAAATAATTATTTCTCTCTCTTGGCCATTTACTTTAAGGTCGGCATTAAATATAAAACCAGTTTTTGCAAGTCAGAATTTTAAGTACATGTAGTAAGCCGATTGCATCGTTGGCCGAGTGGTCGCAAGTGCGACTGCCGGGCAAGGCGTCTCGGGTTCGATTCCCGGGTCGGGCAAAGTATTACTGGGTTATTAAAAAACCTCAGTAGTAGCACGGAGTCTGCAATTGTCCCCGGTATATGGCAATAGGCTCACCCCCTATTACATGGGACTTATAACATAGATAGTGAATGGTGGGTGTTACCTCAGTGTAGGTACACCTCTGCCTACCCCTTCGGGGATAAAAGGCGTGATGTTATGCACAATAGTCAATGCACCAACCGTGAAATCTATTGTACCTAGATAATTTATTATGTTTTCGACTTACTCACGTAATTATTTGAGAAGGAACTCGACTAGTTTCAAGCCATGTTAGAGGCTTCATGAGCAGCATTTCGCGACCCGCGACGCGGCGACTGTCACGCTACTACTCTGAGTCGAGTTACTCGTCAAATAATTACGTGAGTAAGCCGAAAACATAATAATTTATTTAGTATGTATCATGAACCTAGATAATATTGTTTTTTCAGGGAAAATCTTCAACATAGCCTATCCAGGCCACATAACGCGCGTAGTCGAGCTGGACCCTATACCAGCGCACCATACGTGGCCGTTCACTCGAGAAGGCCTCCACGATTGGTACCACTCGTACTACTTGATGTATAATGATGATAGGTTCCAAAAATTCAATAGTGGTTTGGAGACTGCGCCGAAATATAGTTATGAAAAGGTAAGGGGTTCAAAACAACATGGGAGAGCCAATGAATAAGGCCGGCAACGCACTTGTGACTCCTCTGGTGTTGTGGGTGTCCATGGGCGGCGCTTAGTGCTTACCATCAGGAGATCCGACTAATCGTTTGCCTCCTATTCCATTAAAAAAAAATGAATGAGACATGGTTCGCCATGAATGGTCCTAGCTATGTGCCGTGTGCAAATGTCGAGTAAGGGATCTCGGGTTCGACTCTTGAGTTGAACAACATATTATTGAGGACTGGGTTATTTTCAGTTTTCGATAAATTCTCAAGCGTTTATGGGAATAACTGCCTCGTTGGCCGAGTGGTCGCGATTGCGACTGCCGGGCAAGGGGTCTCGGTTTCCATACCCGGGTCGAGCAAAATATTTCTGGGTTTAAAAAAAAATCTCAGTGGTAGCACGGAGCCTGGAATATTTCCGATGTATGACAATAGGCTCACCCCCTATTACATGGGACTCATAACATAAATAGTGAAAAGTGGGTGTTACATTGTACAGTGGCATAATGTGTACCTCTGCCTACCCCTTCGGGGGTAAAAGGCCTGATGTTATGTTATGTTTATGGGATTAAAAGTTTGACAAATGGTGTTTGATTCCAGGCACAACAGCTGATGATGCATACACGAGGCTTATCTAAAGAGGCGACGGAGCATATCCTGGAGCGATGCCTGATTCCTGCAGGCGATGGTCTATACAGGTATCTATAACGTTCGAATTTTTTTGCTTTACTATACTAGCATTAAGCTTCCTTGTACGTACTGCTGAGGAGTGGAATTCTTGGCCAGTGTCTGTGTTTTTGAAGGGTATAATAACCTGGGTGTCTTCAAGGCCCGAGTGAATAGGTTGCTTATGGGCAGACGTGCTCCATCGTAGACCGCATCATCGCTTACCACCAGGCGAGATAATGGTCAAACGTCGGCCCATCAAATATAGTATAAAAAACAGATTAATTTATTTTCTCATTCATCTGGATATAAATATGTTTGGAATGAGCATGAAGCATACCATATTTTCATTGTATCAGCCACTAGACGTCCATTGCTCAACATAGGCCTTCCCAAGATCCCTAGATCCAAGATCCAAGATCCCTCTCCTCCAGATAGGCCAGTTGGAAGCATTTCACCTGTTTATATCAAAACTATTTCTTCTGACTGCCTCATTGGCTGAGTGGTCGCAAGTGCGACTTCCAGGCAAGAGGTCTCGGGTTCGATTCCCGGGTCGGGCAAAGTATTTCTGGGTTTTTTAAAAATCTCAGTAGTAGCACGGAGTTTGGAAATGTGCCCGGTATATGGCAATAGGCTCACCCCTTATTACATGGGACTCATAACATAAATAGTGAAAAGTGGGTGTTATATTGTACAGTGGCATTAAGTGCCGAAATGTGCACCTCTGCCTACACCTTGGGGGATAAAAAGGCGTGATGTTATATTATGCTATTTCTTCTTCCAGATTCACATTTGACCAGCGAATGAAAGAAGTATCAGTATTCCCCTTTTCCGGTGAAATGTTAGAAAAAATATATACTACTACGACCACGCCAACATTTTGTGTATTGGCTAAGAAAATGATAGAAGTAGGTGTTTACGAACCCGTACCATTTATTATGGATGAAAAGGCTTGGCCTCACGGCAATTATAAGTACAAGATTGTCGATGGCAGCCATGATGTGCACATAGACAATCCAGAGTACATGGCCGATGACATTTCAAACTTTATTCTAGAAGGCGCGAAAGCGAAATTGTTCCCAATAGGGCCGATGCCGATTCGGAGTCGCGGAGAACCTAACGGGTAACCGGGGCTCCCCGGCTCGACGTGCAGGAGAAGGAACGGGGTGGTTTTTAGTCTGACACTCCCTCCCGCCTCACCCAGGCGGGAGCAGGCATTCGATGATTTTCCCCCCTTAAGTGCATCGCAAATATTCCGGGCGAATTTTTGGTCTACGACTTCTTGATCGGTACCCAAGGGTGTAATGAAAATGATAAATAAGTGGCGCACGTAAAAGGTGAAGGAAATCCAGTACTAACTATTAATGAAAAAGACATTTCTCATCAATAAATAATTATCAGAAAAATTATAGACAACGGTTAGATTTTGATGCGCTTTGATTTACTGTCTAATAATGTTAGCCTAAGCACCGTTAAACCACAGATACACTGTCTCCATTTTGGTCTTGTCCGATTCCCATAGTTATAAAGATGGTCCATCAACCTCCTATCTGATTATTGGAAGAAACCCTCTGTGTTTCGAAACTAGTAGAGCTTTTCTCAGTTTCTTCACGTGAGTAACCTGCAATTTTTAGTTAATTCAGGTTTTAAAGGGTAAATAAAATTTCTGATTTCTTATAATCACGCTTAATATTTTTCGATTATATAAAAGAAATGTTCATTTGCAGAAACTCAATTGTAAAAGTGGCTTCCCAACGAAAGTAGGTGACGCCCGGCGCCCGCGCTACAGGTAGCAAAGACAGAACAGATCATACACATACATATTATCACAGAACAAACTTCGGTGACTGCTAGAGTCCGCGGTCAGAGTTCCTATGCTATTCGTGAAATCAATACACTAACCGTGAGAGGCCACCTTTACACGTACAATATTAATAATTACAATTAGCTACACAGCTGCTTTCTGTCCGCGACCTGCTCACCTCGAGTCACAATAGAACATTGCAAGGTGTATGTAATTATAGCAATGCAGAAAATAATGGAAATCGGCGCACGCATCTCTTATGTCTGCCTAGTAACTAACGGAGCATCTCTAATCACTTTAAGCAATTAAATTATAGGTGAATTATGTGACACATCCGTCTGCGCCAAGTCAAGTGATTTTTGAGTATAGTCGTTAGTTTCTTATGAGATGTAAATGTAACGAGACATACGGATGTTAGTTTCCAGTTCGCAGCTTTGAAGGTGGTGGAGGCGGCGAGGAGGTCGCGGACTGAGGCCGCCGGCTCTCTGCGGCTGACGCCAGGCGCAGGCACACTTAACTATGTCATTTTTAAGGTCCTTTACATTTATTTACAATATTATAGTAATTTTATTGGATTTCCAATAATAATGTTCCTTTCGTCTGTAGCATGAAAACGCTACAATAATTAATTTACACACGTAGATGCAAGCTCTCTCGGAGTCATCCGTCGTCAGATAGATATCACTCGTGATGCTCGGTCTATACACTATGTACAGGGGCGGCGGCGGGCGCTGCAGCTAGTGGGCGGCGGGGTCGGCGCGCTCGGGGCGCTCGGGGCGCATGGGCGGGAAGTGCTTGGGGTCGCGCAGGTCGAAGGCCCGCGCGGGCGCCGGCGCCGCCTCCAGCGCCGCGCCCAGCTCGGCCGCGCGCTCCGACTCTGTGGGCAGACGGAGGCTCAGGCCGGGCGCTCGCACCGCATGCACCGCTTGTACGATATATCAACTCATGCGGAACTTTCTCTGGAGGGTTACATACCTACGACGATATGAATGTGCGCTCTGGTGTTGTCCACATACATACCTCCGTACCTTACAACTAGTACGTGCCAAGTAGTATCCAGCTCAAATAGCCTGTTCAACAATATAGTGGGACGTGAAGTAGATAACATACGAGTGGCAGTAAACACTAAACATTTGTAACAAAAACATTGATATGATATTACATAGAACACTGCAGGTAATTCGTGTAACTTTCAAGCAGGAACGACAAATTTAGAGTACACATTAAACAAACACAATAATTAATTCACATTTGAATAAATAATAAGTACCGTGTGAGAGGACAGCTGCCAACACAACTGTTCCCGCACTTTGGCGGTCATCAAACATACTCAGGTACAACACAGCTTGACATTATTTCAAGTGAAAACTTTACAACATACCATTGCACAAGTCGAATGCGATGGCGGTAGTAACAGAAGTAGATCGTATCGAGCACAGCCGGTCCGAGTGCACACATACAATAAATGATATATCGGCGCGAGGAGCGCCGCTCGAACTGCTCCGGGACTCGAGTCGAGTGGCGCGACTTACCTCGGCGCCGCGAGCTACGTCACTACACGAGCACTACCTGACACATGCAGCTCGGCGGGGGGCGCGGGG